ACAACATGTTGCTGTCGCAGCTGCGCTGTATTATATTTCGTCTTGTGAGGCAGCGGCAGAAACGCAGGAAGCTGGAATGTGCTGCTTTATTCCGTGCTGCCGTCTCTGCTACTTTCAAAACTCAAGGAGGTGCGTATACTAGCAGTATATTGTGTTTTTCCGCTTGACTTGCACTTCGCAACGACACAAGCTTGTTTCTGGCATGTTTTCTGCAAAAACCGTCTTACGTGTTTAGGTTTTACGTGGCGTGAGGGCGTGAAAAAGCTACGCTAAATCCAATCTGGCCGGTCAGACTGAAACGGATTTCCAGGAATGCGATTTGAATAGGATTCCAAAGTGTAGCTTACCATTCAGACTATCTAAATATAATCGGATTTCAATCGGATTTGGGCTGACAGTCTGAACGAGGCTTTAGTGTTTGTTTCGAGAATTTATATTAGTAGTGTGAATGGTTCACACTTATTTACAAGTTGTGGTGCAGTAATTTAGCCTGTTATTAATTATTTAAACAGTACAAACTGAAGAACAAAGATTATGTCTAACCTGAAGTGGAATTTGCTGTACTGGGACGAGTATCTTGGAATTGTGTTTTTGGCCCAGCACAGGCTGTGGTTCTGAAAGGGTCCAGGAGCAAATGGAATATTGGCCTTCCTCTTTGCTGAGCCAGTCTTTTCAGAAGGCTGGACCACAAAAATAACGGGAATAGGCTGAGGGGGAAAAAACAGGGATTAGATCTAGAATAGCAAGCCTAAAAGTTTTAAAGAAAAGTATGTTTGTTGGAAATCTGTCTGATAGGAGACATAATGGTCTGTTCATGTGATTTCTAAAAATGTTAATCTAACAATATATCTGATATCATTTTCAAAATGATATTTAACTGCCATGCATATTTTTATGTTCTGCAGTAATGTCGTTTTAGGAAATCATTTAGCTTTTTATTACTTTTAAAGCCATTCCTGGCCTCTTCAGAGAATATTTCATGGGCTTGTCCTTCAGTATGTCTTGTAGTTTATCCAGACCAGCTCTCATGTGACATTTGAACTCAGGAACTCTTCCACTTCCTGTAGAGGTCTCATCGAGCAACATCTTCCTCTGCCACCTGTTGTGCTGAGCATGTGCAGCCTGAAGCTGCTCCTCATGTAGAGCCTCTCCTAAACAAAATACAAGGTAAAATGAGTCCAGTTGAGTCTTGCTTCATACAAACAAATCTGGCACTTTCTTTCTTAGTAATCAACTGTACCTAAAATTACATTAGAGTACTTCATAATTGATATTATAATAGACCGTATTACCGTTGCAGTGTTCTTTATGCTGCTAGATTGATTGTTTTTTATTTGAATGTGTTCTCATGTGCAAGTACAAAATATCCGCCTACCGTTTGGTTACACAGAAAAACAATAGAAAAGCAGCAGAGTGAAATGCAAAAACACCCCTCTGGGATATCGTCATTTATAAATGACGCTAAGAAAACTGCATTTAAAATACAATATTAATGTTCAACCAGCAAAATTTTATTTTAGTGATGTCAAATGACATGCCCTTCAACCAGTAAAATGTAAATTTATTAGCCATGTGCTTCACATTTTTGGTAACTAAGTAGTAAAGGAGACATTAGCACATGTTAGGTCACATGCTATCAAGGCTCCATAGTGAGCTCATTTTAGACTAGAAAATACATATAAATTCAAGTTATAAAAAAAATATAATTGTACATCCAAATGTGTTTTCTAAAGTTTTTATAAAAACAACAACTCGGAGACCAACAAATCTGAGCGTCATGCATAACTGACAAAGTCCTATTATGTGATGCATATTTTGTGTAGCTGGCACTATTGACCAGCATTGGCGGGCAGTATAATAGCCTTTATGCATGTGTTTAGGTTCATTTTTGTAAGATTTTTGGAAGATGGAGAGACAAATCTGTACTTATTTCAGAAAGTATTGATGATAGTGATATGAGTGCATCAGAAAATCAGTTGTAGTAATAAAACAAGTTGTTCAGGACCAAGGAGGATAGAAGCAATGAGGGTGAGGGCAGTGATGAAGAATAGGTTATTGTGGAAATCAGGCATTTGGGTACATTATTGTATGCCAGTTTGAAAGATGTGATCCATACAACAACCAGAGGTCAGGAAAGATGCCAGTGTCTATTGACATTACTATACTGACAGACAGCAATGCTCCAAATGATGACTGCACAAGTCAACATCTACTTATGTGTGTGGGTTGTGTGGGGTACACTGAAAAAGAAGAGTCTTGTTGACTTTCACTTGTGCTACGATAATTAATTTGCAATTCCAAGATGAAACACAATGTTTAAGTTGTTTTAATGCTTTTGAAACACTAAGACATGGTTTTCAGGCAGTGAAATTGCATCCGAATTTGTGTCAAGTTTTAGACATTTTCACGCGCGAGTTCCAAATCAAATGTAGCAGCACAAGAAAAAAATTGAATGTTCATAAAGATTTTTAATGTTTTTTTGAAACAGTAAGACCTTTTCACACTTCTTTTCAGATGATGAAAAGGCATTTGATTGTGTGTGAAGTTTCAGACAATTTGCCAAAAATAATTTACCCTATGGGACGTCAGTTATAAATGACGGATCCCTAAAAAAAAGGTCAAAGGTCAGATGAAGAAAACTAATTTTGGAAAATGATTTTACTCCTAAATATATGTAAAATATAGAGTCAATAATTTTTTACGCTGTAAATTCACAATTAATCCTATAGAGGGCTAACTGACTTTTCCCTTAGTGGAAGCTTTAAGATAATATACAAGTAAAATTATACAAATATTACCATTTAAATCCCCATTTTGTGTATATATATATAACCATATAATAATAATGTATGATTTGTTCATCTTAAAGGGGTCATGAACTGAGAAATCAAAATTCCATTGATCTTTTTGTTCACTTTTGAACACCTGCTTCCACATCACTGCTTGTTTAGCCCCGCCCAACAATTTGTGTACGTAGTAGGTAAATGTCAAGAGTGGCAAACACAGGTCTAAGCAGAAACCAAACCATAAAGTTTATTTGATGAACTTTATTTTTAATGAAGTGTTATTTTTAATAACTTGGTCCTTTGTTCACTTCATTTTATCGCAGATTCGTTTACAAACAAGGCACAATTCAATGCAGGATTTTCAGAAAGACTGAAACTACAAGACGATGCTGTGCCGACTGTATTGGATGTAATATCACACTACACAAGTGTGAGTAACTGTTTCCATTACGTGATCACTATAGCTTTACCTGTTATTACAGATCGTTTGATCTGTACTGAGTATTTATGCATATTTAACCTAAGTCACAGCATTGTTCATCTGTGAAGGATGTAGGGTGTCAAGCATACACAACTGTTAGCCAATCATAGCAGTGTGCATTTACTTCTGAGTCTACAATCTGCCACGCCTATTCAAACAGAGTGTTTCGAAGAGGGTATCAAAACAGGGCAGAAAATAGCCTATTTTTTAGGGATATACCGATACTGGTATCAGTATCGGGCCCGATACTGAGCTCCTGTACTCGTACTGGTACTCGTTAAAATGCCCCGATACCAAACGCCTACACCACACAGCATGTGATAAGCGCCATATTCAGACAAAGAAACACCGACAACAGAACAACAGACAGCAGAATGGAGTTAAGGATGTCTACTACGAAGTATATGTATGCAATGAATATAATGTTAAACATTCAGTATTAACGCCTGTATAGCTGATGTGCATGAGCTGATAAACAAAGCGCG